TTTCGCAACAATCTTATCTCAGGAGATTCTTCTAAACCCACATTTTCTCTCTATTTAGGTAATCAGCACGGTGACATTCCTTTCCTTGTTACTTACTAACAAATTCTCATTCCACACTATCGGCTTATTTTGGGCAAACACAATTGAGAATCATAACTCTGCCAACATTTTTAAAAAGCAGAGCCATAACAGCTTGTGTTATCTGATAGGCAAAGATAAAATTTATTAGATTTGGCGAGTATGTGGTGCATCTATTTGTTCCGGTAGCAGTAGTAAGCTTAGGATTTATACGTTCAAGACTGCTTTTGAAGCTGGATTGTATCCTATTATATGTAAATTAACTACTATACATTTTGCCTGTCTTCCCTGCTCTATTCTTGGCATCAGCCAGACACCATTTGCAATCAAATGAACCTCTTTATCCACATCCTTATTTATCACTAAGCTCAATTGTGCGCTTCAATCTGGGGTGAGCAGTCTTCAAAAGCCAGATGATGATGATGCAAACCCTCTTCAGGAGCCGCAAATGACTGTTACTGGACCGTCGGATTCTGATGCTCCATCCTCACTCTCCATCTTCATTGACGATTTCTCAGCTCTTTACAGCCTTGACCTGACCTCGCAGCACATGGCTCGCTGCTACCGGCTTGTGCATAGGTAAATTGTCTATAGAACATACAATTCCTTACTTATTTATGTCAAATTGACTTAATTTTCACCTTTTGGGAAACATAGTTATCAACGAAAATTAATAAAATCAAGGTGTGAAGACCAAGATAGTGCGGCCTTTAGTATGATAACCGTTTCCTTTCGTTGTATACAAGTTGTTTGATATTGTTTGGAGTACATAGCATGCATGATAATTTCCAGAGTCGGATCATTGACTTTGTATATTCTCAGACAATTCGCGGGCATCGTAGCCGGCACCATCAGTGGGCCCTGTCATTGTTAGCACCATAAATTGTCTTCTTTAAAAGTAACAAAGTCTGTTGATAATCAAAATTTAGATAGAACTAATAGTCAAGTTTCCTATATTTATGTCCGATGCCAAAGTCAATTTCTTGATTGTACTTATTAAGAACTGCGAATTTTCATTTGAGGGAAGTTGCTTTATGCATTAGACCGATCTCAGCTTCATTTTAATTCCAGAGAAATCGTGTAACTGATTCCCAGTTGTTGTTTATTGAGACAAGAATTTCCTCGACATTCATTTTTTGTATCAATTATTATTCATTTTTAAGGTTTTTGAAATAATTTTGTAAGCTTTCTGGTCTATAAATTTTCTATAAATTAAATGATGATGATAATTATCGCAGTCGATTTCGAAAGGTGAATTACCCACTAAAATCGTCATTGAATTAAGACACTATTCGCAGAACGATGTCAAATACAAAATAACATTTTAGGTTAGGCACCATTTTTACACCTAATCGCAACTTATTTTGCACCATTATCGTTTTTAGTTGTCTTTTTGGGCCTTGGATATAAGTCCTATAATATTCTATTCTCTACAAAAGTGCAACATTTAAGTAAATTCCAGTCGCTTCCACTGTCATTTGGCTCAACCTCACAAAAGTCTAAGGAGTCTGTTTTTCTTCAATCATTAGGTCCTTTCTTCAATTTAGGCCATCACCATGTGTCATTTCTTTATTAAACCACATAAATTTACATAATGATTGTATATTTGGCCCTATTTGTTTTTTGGGGGAAATGATTGTCCTGCCAGCCAACAGAGAATAATTTAATAAATGGAACGCTTTATTATCACTTTGGCATTGGGAATTGATATGTAGAAAAACTGGATTTCGAAGAGTCCCTCAATAGATTTTATGTTGGAGTACCTTTCATTTCGTTCGAAGAGACGAGCCCAAGGGAGTTGTACGTTAACCCCACCGGGAGCTCTAGAAGGACTGCCTTGCAGCTGTGATTGTGGAGTTATTCGAATAGGTCATTGGCGTACTACCCTGCGACCACGATCAATCCATGCTGAGCTTTAGTCCGTCTTGTGATGGACATCGTCAGAGAAAGACACAATGCTTTACAATAATTTACCAAAAGGTGGCCTACTGCAATCCTACCTACTTTTTATAG